GCAGCCGAGCCGCGCATGCTATGATTCCGGCACATGCACGCATGCAGTAGCAGCGTATGGTACGCATGCCGTCGTCGGGGATAAAGAAAAAAAAAACCGACTTGGGCAGTGCGCGTGCAGAGCCAGACCCACCCCAATCCCGGCCCACCCGGTGGAGGACCGCGGGTATGGGCCGCGGGCGCACGCTTTAGCCCCCCTCCCATCTCATTCTCATCGCATCATCGCGCCTCATCGTGGACGCGGTGAAGTCCCATATGCATTTGCCTCGGCTTTGCAAGCGATACACCCGTGACCCGTGCGTCGACGCCAAGGCTGCAAACGGCAACGCCGTGCGTTACGTGGCAGGGGCACCGCGCGCGTACTCCTCGCCTGTCTGTCGCCTCCCCCCTCGCATCCATCGGCACACGGTCGCACGTACCCCCAGCGCTATGATTTGCCGCGGCCCGTTCACGCTCACGCGTGGCCAATTCTACAGCACGACGACCAAATTTTCTCGTATCCGGGCAGTTTTCTCGGGTCCAGATGGTCTCTTACGTGGGCCTAATTTTGGGCCTGGAGAACACATCCCTAGACGATCTTTCAACATTACGCTGCGGAATAAGTTCACCTTATGACCCTTAAATGTGATCGAAACCATAAACTACAGATCCAGATATCTCGACCCACAAACTCTTAAAACCGGTGCAATTTGACTCCCTGGGTGGTTTTGGGAGGCGGTTTTGCTAACGTGGCGTCTACATGGTAATATTGATCGAGTCTTCGTTCCACGGACGTTGACGTGGCACCTACGTGGCGGTAGAATTAAAAAATATACATGGGACCCATTAGTCATTCGCACAAAAAAAAATGTGGGCCTACTGACATATGAGGCCCACATGTCATTCCTTCTTCCTCCTCCCTCTCTCTCTTCTCTCTCTTTCTCTCCCCTTCTTCCCCTTCGGCAGGTGGCGCGCAGGGACAGTAGAGCTGCGGCGGTGGCAGCCACGACAGCAGCGCGGCGACGGCAGCGGAACTCGAGGGAGTAGGGCGGTGGAACGGTAGCGCGACAGTAGGGCGGCGGTAACAGTGGGCTAGCCTCCATCGCGCCATCGCCGTCTCCCCGCCGGAATCATGCTCCGTGACAACTCCTCGTCGCCGTACCATGTGGAGAAGGAAGGAGAGGGAGAGAGATGGGGTCGCTACCGCCAGCTTCGGCAACGACGCCGCGGGGAGGAGCGGATGAGGCTGTGGATGGGGTTGGAGGAGGCACCGGCCATCGCCTCTTCAGCGCCCATCCGCCGCCGTCACCGAAGATCTGGCCCTTGCTCTTGCCCTCGCCCGCCCGCCCTACCACCCTCCCGCCGCTGGCCCCCGTCCCACACTGCCGAACGTCGCCGCCGCCGCTCATTCTCGCTGTCCCTGCGCGCCACCGGCCGAAGGGGAAGAAGGGAGAGAAAGAGAGAGAAGGGAGAGAGGGAGGAGGAAGAAGGACTGACATATGGGCTCCATATGTTAGTGGGCCCACAATTTTTTTTGTGTGAATGACTAATGGGTCTCACGTATATTTTTTAATTCTACTGCCACGTAGGTGCCACGTCAACGTCACGTGGAACGAAGATTCGGTCAATATTGCCACGTAGGCACCACGTGGCGCCACGTCAGCAAAACCGCCTCTCAAAACCATCCAGGGAGTCAAATCGCATCGGTTTTAGGAGTTTAGGGGTCGGGATATGTGATGGATTAGATTTCGGTCACACTTGAGGGTCCTAAAGTGAACTTATTCCTTACGCTGCTGCAGAGACGATCACTACTACTTCCCGTCACACGCACGGGGAGCAGAAAATGAGCGAAATACACTAATCCTGTAAGATGCATTTTAATTCTAGTTTAATGTATAACAGCGTGTTCAGGCCTCCATTTATCACGTATGATCGCCGCCACGCTGCTCTCTGTCGTCGCCGGATGGGGCACCGGGAACTGCCTCAAGAAATGCAAGCAGCATATAGCCGCACGCCCCACCACTAAGTCGTGACGGTCGGTGGCAGCAGTACCAGCAGGATGAAAACATTACGAAAATTTCTCGACCATACCGATACCTTCCACAAAACTAATATAATAATAATATTTTTATCGATGGTTACTGTTTTTAAATTTAGTTTTAAGTTCTGTCATCGTGGCATTGAAGTTGATACTAAATAGATAAATTCATAAATATGGAAATTTCCCGATCATTTCGGTTCGTTTTCGAGAAAATAATAAAATAATGATATTGTTTCTGACCATTTCCGTCCGTTTTCATCCCCGGCATGCACAGTGAGTGGCCTCTAGAGTTCAACATCGGTGAGGTTGTTCTGAAAAAATATATAGTGGAAACTATATATATGGTGTCGCTAAGGAGTCTAAATGCAAAATGTGTGCTAGCGTATAGCGTTACGCCGGTGGTCATACACGAGCAAATAAGATTTTAGACATGCTGAGATACATTAAATTAACAATATGAATCTAAATATGTATTTTGCCAGATTAGGTACTTAAGTAAACCACCGTATAAATTTAAGGGCTGGTCGTGTATTTCACAGGAAAAAAAACGATCATTCCATCTCTCGCTGTCTGCCTTGTTGTCCCAAGCTTCTTCCATAAGTAGTACAACATCTCTACCACATCTCTCGCCAGCCAATCCGAGCACCCCTACCCAGTCAAAAGCTCCACCATTGCATGATGCCATTATCTCCCCTGGAGTACAAAATCAAATGCACCGAAGGCACTTTAAAATCCACAATCACTAATGGCTAACCTCAAAACAGGACAGAAAAGTAGAAGTAGTAGTAGCTTGATTAGGACGGATGGCCAGAAGGAAGGAAAAGGAGGGATGTCGAGCAAAAGCAGAGAGTTCAGTGAACCTGTTGTCTTTCTGAGACGCTTCATGGCGTCCCCACAAGTCCCAATCATTGTAGTAGTACTGAACGGCCCCTGTTCTGGCAAATGGATCTTCCCAGCGTCGGTTATCCTCGATGAAAGCAGGCGCCACACACAGCAAAGAGATAAGGAGGAAAAACCGGTAAAGTATATAGCTCTAGTTCGTGTTTAGTGCAGTACAATTTTCCATCCTGCGGTCAGCAGGGTTTACAAAACCATATTGCTACTACGCGCACGGTAATCACGTACGATAACCTACGACATACCTCGCGGTAATCACCAAACCGTAGGCGATGGTAACCTTACCCCCAAACAATTTGGTAAACACTTACGGTCATTCTATTACTATAGGAACAATTTGATCTCATGGTCTCTCTAGGATGATCGCGATCGCCAATCACCGGCGATCAATTTTTCAGTCCAAAATACTTTATGGAATTATAGTAGCAGAAACTTACATAATAGCCAGAATGTTGTTGCCATTCGGAACGAGGCTACTAGATCCAATTGTTACAGCAAAATTAGTCTACGTCACGTGATCGATCTTTTTCTCAAATCTCATTGACATGTAGTACTCGGTACAAGCTGCGCAATGACTAGCTGCGTTCGAAGCTAAAGGTTAGGACCATCTCTTCGCTTTGTAAAATAGAACGAGCCATTAGGGAATAATTAATTAAGCAGATACCTTTAGCTTATTTAAAAAGTTAATATATTTTTTAAGACAACTATTCTATAGAAGTTTTTTTTCCCATAATACGTCATTTAGCAATTTGAGAAAGATGCGAAAAAACAAAAAAAGTTGTAGTTGAAAAAAATATGGTTAAGAACGCAAAATAATTTGTCAATCAACTCCCACGAACAAGGAACGAGTCCAAAGCAACTCACGCGCTTGGATCACTCGCGAAACGACCTATCAACATCTCAAAACTCTCAAACCAATCGAGAGAACGAACGCAAAATTTGCCCATAAATAAATTTATTTGCTCCAGCTAAGACCGGCGGCTGATCGATCGAGCTCATCACCACGGGAAAAGCCGATCGCGGAAGAGAAGAGAGCCCTTCCAGCCTGGGCCACGTGGCGTCCACGCACCATCACCAGCACAAGGAAGGAAGGAGAAAGAAAAAAAAAAAGAAGAAGAAAATCTCCTCGTGCTGCTGCCGACCTGTGCCGGCGATGAGAGCAGTGGGCCCCAGTGAAGCACGGCGGCGGTGGGGATCGGCGAAAGATCCTCCGCCTCCGCCTTTGAGAGGGGAGGAAAGGTCGCCGGGGATTTTCTGTGAAGGCGTATCCTGACGACCACCTTAAGCTGTCGACCTGCTTATGTTTAATCCAAAAATTTTTGGGGGATGTTTCATCCAAATCGACTTTAAATCCCTGATTGAATTATTTTTTCACAGGATTATTATATGGATTATCTACTAAATTATGTATTATATATTTTAAAATAAATTTAACAAATAGTTTAGAAAAAAATTGTCTAAGCTGTATGGTAGAAGAAAATATTCTGAGAGGGCATATTTTAAAACGAATTTCTTGAAGCTTGATTTTTTTGTATTAATTTTAATGGATAGTAGCATTTGTTTTCGTGTTAATCATGAAATGGGAGTCATGCAACTAAAGCACAACTAGTTCCAAAATCAAATTCTAAATTTCAAAATCAGCCTACAGTGAAAAAAAAACTGAATTGATTTCCATTTCTTGTTTTTATTCAATAGATGGTGAATTGCACGCATGTATATAATCATTTTTCTGTTTGTAATGTGTTTTGGAAAAGGAAAAGATGATGAATTGTGAGCTGAAATTTGGTCTGAAAGAGGAAACCAAGTGTGTGAACAAATGTCGACACGTGGTGGTCAATTTGCAGCCGTATTAGGTGGTATCAATACGATTTTTAATCAATTCGAATACAGGACGGTTACCTATCTTAAAAAAATTTAAAAAAAGAACAGGGAAATAATTAGTGTACGCAACTTGGACCTACCAATAATGCCAGGCGAACTAATCCAATCCGGTTCAACTACTAATGGATGGCTCCAAGTAGCGTCAATGATTGAGCTGTCAGGGCAATTCACAACCAATGGAGGAAAAAAAAAAGAGGAGATAATAAAAAGAAAGATGCCACTAGCTCAAGCTGATAATAATGCTCTCCACAGATAATAATAAATTTTATACAAAAGGGAATTAAAATTAAATAGAGATTTGTGGGAGGACAACACAACAACCCCATCTTCTTCCTTCCTCCCTCTTTCCATCCAACTTCCAACCTCAACCACCACTACAACAACAACATCATCATCATCATATTGTTCTTCCTTTGCTTGATGCATCTTGAGTCACCCATCTCATCTCCTTTTCTTTTTCTTTCTTTTTTTTCCCCTTTCACCTTTAAGAAGCTCTCAGGAAAAGAAAAAATAATACCCTCAACTTTAATTTTTAAAAGGAAAGAAGAAGAAAAAAGAAAGAAAAAAGGAGGAAAATTCAGGTTGGTTTCCCCTTGTATTATCCTTTTAGAACCTAACGATCTTGGCGGCGCGGACGACGGGGTTCTCCCTGGCGATGGCGTCCCTCGCCGCCGACTTGTAGTCGAAGCTGCAGTCGTGGCGGTCGGAGTACCGGTGCGCGCCGCAGTAGAGCTCGCCGCAGCGGCACCGGAACCCGGTCAGGCCCACCCGCCTCCGGCAGCTGTGGCATCGGTTGACCGACGACGACCTCGACGCCTTCGACGACGACTCCACCGGCCCCGCCGTCGGCCGCTCAACCACCAGCGCCACCGCCGCCGCCGCCGACGACTGTACGGCCTGCCTCGGCTTCTCCACCACCGGAAACACCGGCAACGACGTCGTCGACGGCGAGGCAGCGGCGGAAGAAGAAGAAGAAGACGCCGAGGCAGCCAAGAAGCAGTTCTGGCAGAGGTTGTTGGTCGCCGGGTTGCCCGGGAACCCGCAGCTGTTGGCGCAGAGCGTCATCTCCGGCGCCCTCAGCTCCGTCGGCTCCTCCACCTTCTTCTCCCTCTGCGCCATGATCGAATCCGAGAGAGAGACGAAGCGAGCTTAGGTTCGCTTTGCTTTTGGGAATGGGTTAGCGAGGCGAGGCGAGGCGAGGAGAGGGTGAGTCCCTTTTATTTATCGAGGAGGAGGCGGGCGGCGTACGCGTTCTCGTCGTCGACAGACAGCGACGGCCGGCGCTTGAAAATGGGTTGGAAATGGCGATGCTGCCCCTCTCTCGATCACCTTGTCTGACGGTGAAAAGAGGAGAAAAAAAATGGGGGCGACAGGTTGGGTTTGGTTGTGGTTGTGGGGGTCTCTTTCTTACGGATTAAGGGAGGAGGAGAATGATGCAAGGGCGTGCGTACGTGCTTTGTGGTTGGGGATTGTTAGCGGCGGGTAAGGGAGGGAGGGTGGTTTTGGCTTGGCTGGCCTAGGTACTGTGTAATGTAATTTGGAGGGTGGATGCCTGTCTTTAGGTTAGGGAAGCTTGCAAGCTATTTCAAGCTGGGATCTACTATTATACACAAGGGAAAATAGGGGTGAAAGGTTTTTTTTATTCATGTGGAAAAATATTGGAGGTAAACATGGATTAAATTTTACTTTGTATTGTATTTGAAGGATCTTTAAGATTGCACATCGATCTTGCTTGATACGGTTTAGGGTTTCGAAACGTGAAGAGAACCACTCACTAATTGTCCTTTTATAAGCACTGTTGTTGAGAGATGCATTTTGCTAGTGTGGTGGCAAGGGGTGCTTGGTTTCAATCCCGATGTCCGTGTTCAATCCCCAACACGCTTATAATTTCTTCTTAAAAAATATTGTATTATTGAGCAGGTTCGTATTTAGAAATTGCAAATGGAAACAATCAAATTTAACGAAAAAAATAAACAACAACTAAAAAAAAGTATTTATTGTTGACAAATCAAATGTATAGAAAAAAACAAACTAAAACCGAAAATTTAGGCCCCTTTGATTCAAAGGAAATTCATAGGAATTTTAGAGGATTTCTTTCCTATATGAATTTTTCCTATATAGCCCTTTGAATCGAATGAATGGATCTTATGGAATCCTATGAAATTCCTATGGATTGCCTAATGCCATGCAAGTTTTGGAGGAATTCTAACATGAGGTAAAACCTCTTGGAAACTTTCCTTTGAGTCTTTATCTCTCCTCTAATTCCTGCGTTTTTCCTACGGTCCAATCAAACGACCATTCCTGTGTTTTACAATTCTCTGTTTTACCCTTACATTCTTATCAAAATCCTGCGTTTTTTCTATTCTTATGTTTTTTTATTCTTGCGATTCAAAGAGGCCTTATTGAATTTCACCGATATATCCGTACATCACAATTGAGCACTAGTAACCACAATTACCGATTAACCACCGGACAAATAGCAAAATTCAGTGTACGATGTTATTTTGTTGGATTTTGATTTGAATTCGTGTACAAGTAGCTCAGATGGACGTCAAAATTTTCCTTGGCTAACAACAAGTTGCAGCACCATCGGTCAACTCAAACGAACGTCAAACATGCCTAGTAGTACCGCTTAAAAGTAAACCCATACTATGTACTCTTTCCGTCCCATAATATAACAACTAGAATATTTCTACAATAAATCTATATATGCATCTGTCCAGATTCGTTGTACTATAAAATATATTGTCTAGTCCAGATTACTATATTATGGAACGGAGGGAGTAACAAATAACTTAAGCCCCAGGTCCGATCCCCTAGCCCTCAGCCACAGCACAGATAACGGAGGAAAACCGAGTTCACGACCTGGTACACGGCACCACCAAACTTTGCACGCGCCCCCCGGGCACCAGCCACCACACCAGGGGCACAACTGCCAATCCACCACACCACCACCAGTCGAAGACGCCGCCATGTCACGCACGCATGCAACCCCCCTCGCGATTGGCGCCCCCAACCCAAGCCGCGCGCCGATCGGGCCGCCCAAAGCTGACCGACGCCACGCCCGTGAAACCAACCCAAGTGAAAAAATACCCGCAGGAAACGCAGCGGAAACCCATCGCGCGATTCGCCGAGGAGCCGCGTGCGTGAGCGCTGCAGTTTTAGCGTCGTCCGTCCCTGCCTGACCTCCCCGGTTGTCGCTGTCCGGCAGCTGAGCTGTGCCGCGCCTGTGCGGATTAGGATTAGCACGGCCGCGTGCAGCTGCTGCTTCTGCTCCCTTTCCCCGGCAACCCGTCGCTGTCGCCACGGTAAAAATATGGCGACCACGAATTCACGTGGTGAATTAACATCCGCTGCAGGATACTAGTATGATGCTGCGTCAAGGTCAATGGATATCACCCTTTTTTTTTCTTTTTCTCACACATAGTTTTCTTTTATCATAAAATAAATCAACCACGACTCGTAATGTATTTTGGAACGAAGAGAATACATAGTTATACATACTATAGGGGTATCATCATACATGGAGGAGAATTATCGTGTTCCTGGTAGGTACCAATCGAAATCCTCTGCAGTATGCTCACTGACATATAGGGCCCATATATCAATGAGCAGTGGACCCTCACACTCGTTAGGTACTACTACTAATGCTGGGGCGAGCTGCGGTATGTGAAAAGCGAGGGAAATGTGCGCGTATGTGCAGGGCTACCTAACTGGCTTGGGTACCAGCCAGGGTGGTGCACGGATGGATGAATACGGCAGCCGACCTATCGTGCCCAAACATCCGTGTTACACCCGATCGATCGCGACGACGGCTCTCATCAAGCCGCGTCGACGGGGAGAGCTCTCCTAGTTGGAAAAAACGATAAAGTTGCTGAAAAATAATTTAAAATGAGACTGATGTCAAATCTATAGATAATTGTATAAAAGTTTTAGTGCTATCACGTTATTTTTCTCGATAAATGGAACAATGGATGATACCATACTCATGTTTCTGAAGCTTGTAAGATAGTAGTATTACCTTTCTCTTAAAATATATTAATTCTTACCTATGTATATGGATATACTTTTATGTAAATGCATAGGTAACTAAATGTGGTTATATTTTGGGATGCGATTTTTTTAAAAAGGAAGGTAGTATTATATATTACTCCCTCTGTCCCTGAATATTTGACGCTATTAACTTTTTTAAACATATTTGACCGTTCGTCTTATTCAAAAACTTTTGTGAAATATGTAAAACTATATGTATACATAAAAGTATATTTAACAATGAATCAAATGATAATTACTTAATTTTTTTTAATAAGAAAAATGCTCAAATATGTTTAAAAACGTCAATGGCGTCAAATATTTAGGGCCCCTTTGATTTGTAGGAAAAATGTAGGAATTTTGGAGGATTTTAATCCTATAGAAAAAAAATCCTATGAAGGCCTTTGAAACAAAGGATTGAATCCTATCCAATCCTTTAAAATTCCTATGAAATGGGTAATCCTATGCACATTTTGAAGAAAAGTTAGCAAGAGGTCTAACCTCTTGGAACATTTCCTCTGAGTCTATCTCTCTCATCTGATTTCTGTGTTTTTCCTGTGGTCCAATCAAACGGCCATTCCTGTGTTTTGCAATCCTCTGTTTTACAATTGTATTCATGTCAGAATCCTGTATTTTTCCTATTCCTATGTTTTTTTTCATTCATACGATTCAAAGGGGCCCTTAGGGACGGTGGGAGATCTTTTAAATAATCACTTGTACATGGTAATAAATAAGTGATTCAGCTATTTCGAACAAAATATAGCACTTTTTTTGAGGGATTTTTTTAGGGAAAAAATAGAGCACTTTTATGTGTGTAACCGAGATTCTTTTACCAGATTAAGAAATCTGGTAAAAGAACCGCGCTGCTATATAAAGGTGCTTCTCAATGCTATATCCCATCCACACTCCCCACGCATTTATATGACTACTAAAGTTTCGCATTTATATGACTACTAAAGTTTAATTAGGTTGTGTTTAGTTCACACTGAAGTTTGAAAGTTTGGTTGAAATTGGTACGATGTGACAGAAAAGTTGTGTGTATGAAAGGTTTGATGTGATGGAAAGTTGGAAGTTTGGAAAAAAAAATTTAGAACTAAACAGGGCCTTAGTCAGTTTTTATTTAAATTGCACAAAGCTAAATTAGGATCCATATAATTGATATACATGTGTTGTATACATCTATAGCAATCAATCCGTACTAATACTTTTTGGACCACCGCGATCAAACAGTATTTTTTTTCTCTCTATAAACAGCGGATAAATTTAATTCGGTTGGTTATTTTTTTAAAAGGGCGACGTGGTTTGTCTTTGTCCCGTAATCTCTTTATCTTTTGGAACTATCTGGTTACATGTATTGGATAGAAGATGTAAACTATTTTAATTATCTTCAAAAGACGTACGTACTCCTAGTTTATACATACGGTAGATTTTTACATTATTTACAACCTGTGCTTAACAACATAGTAAGATGTACTCCCTTCGTCCCATAATATAAGGGATTTTAATTTTTTTTCTTACAATATTTGACCACTCGTCTTATTCGAAAAATTTGTGCAAATATAAAAACAAAAAGTTATGCTTAAAGTATTTTAGATAATAAAGTAAATAAAAAAAATAATTCTTAATTTTTTAATAAGACGAGTGGTCAAACATCGAAAGAAAAACACAAAATCTGTTATATTACGGGGAGGGAGTAATTAAGGACTGTAGTAGTACTATCGTGATCGTGACGTCGGTTGGCGATACATGAATCCAGCTTTCTCTAGAAAGAGATGCTTGGATGGCCATATTTTACACCTCTCGCCGACTAAATCCTCTGTTTATTCGAGTCATCACCGGATTGGTTAGTTTATAGGGAAAGTGGTTTAGTGGGCTGCCCCCACGAAGCACAGCAAACAACAGGGTGTGTTCATCACCTACAGAAACACGATTTGTTTATCGGTTTGGGGGAAAAGACGAGACGGCGACGTGGCCGCTCAAGTGGACACATTTTAATAGCATAAATGTAGTATAGTACTAGTAGCATGATTTTTTGGGGGGCATCTCTATCAACAGAAAATCCTTAAATTACACCTAAAGTTGCTTCACAAATTGGTGAGGTCCAGGCAAAACCAAATCGAACGGGATATTGTTTTTTTCTTCAAAAATTTCTGTCCATCATCTCTCCAGAGCCGTGACACATGCACCACCATGTTTGGCATGATAGGGAGAATCGATTTTGCTTATCAAGAAACAGAGAAAAGATCCCACTAGGTTAGTAGGTGTTTAGTGTTTTCCTCCCCCTACTAATCAATGGTTATGACCTTAATTAATTGCTGGGAGCCAGGATTGGGTGAACTGCCCACGTATACTATAATGTTATGCCGTATGTAAGTGTGTATGAGAAAGAGAGAAATTATATACTCCCTCCGTACTCATAAAGAAAGTTGTTTAGGATAGCGATACGGTCTCCAAATCATATCTTTAACTTCTTATTTCTATAAAAGTATTTATTAAAAAGTGATATATGTATACTTTTATAAAATTATTTTTCAAGACAGATCTATTCATATAATTTTTATATTTTCAAACTCAACTGCTTGAGAGTTATTCATGATTTATATCCCCAATGTTTGACTTAAATATTGTCCTAAACGATTCCTTTATAAGTATGAAGGGAGTATGTATTGGGAAAGGAAATTGGTGCGATGTGGTGTGGAGTTGAGGACGCGTAGCTTCATTCACTAAGATTTAATTCCTGATGTCTATAAATTTTACGCACTTAATGTAAGTGAACTTTTAACAGAAATATAGCTGAGATTAGAAATATGCCTGTTAGTTTTCGTCTTCTTTAAACGTGTATTAGCTGTTGTGTAGGTGAGTATGGCGTTACGCTGTTGCGTATGTAATGGTGTGCGTCTACCGTGTAATAGTAAAATAAATGACATCGTGTACATGGATTATCGCTAATGACGCCATTGGATTAGTTTAGGTTGCCCATGGAGCCTAAGGTCCCCTAACACCAACCCTAAACCCGTAATTTAATATCCTCTCGTGAATGACAGCACGGTGACGCTGTGCTGCGTAGGAAAGCCACTAGCTGGTGCCGTGGTGCAGCAGAGCAGCAGCATCACGCCAATGACTCGAGGCATTACACAATCGATTGATACGCTGTTGCCTTCTTCACGTGCCCGCGTCGCAGCGAGCTTCGCCTTTCCACACAGAGATTTTGTGGAGATCGCATTCTCCTCTCCTGTGTAAATAAGTGGCTGATCACATGAACGACAATGGGTGGCAATTTGGCAACTGGCAAAGCATCGCAAATTTGCAGTGCTGCATTCTAGGATAGATATGCTCGTATCACCAAAAAGAGAGACTTTAGGAAGCCGACGAGTTCCAAAGTAGGGACTCCCTATGTTTCTAAATGTTTGACGCCGTTGATTTTTTTTAAATATTTTTGACCGTTCGTCTTATTAAAAAAATTTAAGTAATTATTAATTCTTTTTTTATCATTTGATTCATTATTAAATATACTTTTATGTATGCATATAGTTTTACATATTTCACAAAAGTTTTTAAATAAGACGAGCGGTCAAACATATTTAAAAAAGTTAACGGTGTTAAATATTTAGGGAACGAGGGAGTAAATGACTACATGTATGCGCAGTAGCATTAGATCTCATGCAATCCTCCTTCCCCGCTGCATTGATACAAGAACTGAAAACCAAAGCATTAGAAATCACAATGCAGTCACAACATAGATCGAACCTGACAAAAACTTTGTTTCAAAATACTCCAATCGATAGTATTTCGTTTCATATTATATAAGACTTTCTAATATTGTCTATATATATATATATATATATATATATATATATATATATATTAACATCTATATTTATGTGAGCAATGCTAGAAAGTCTTATAACCTGAAATGAAAGTCTTATAACCTGAAATGAAAGGTAGGTAGTACACGGTTCATGTGAAAAAAGCAATAAAATCGACATGCCATTCATCAATATCACAAAAACTATGTGGAGTAGCTTGCAAGTGGGTGAGTTGAGGGCTGAAGCATTCATAAACTAGATCGAACATACTACTCGACATAACCAGGGATAAAACTGGACAGCTCTAAATTTAATATACTTGTGCTACCAGGTTGCCAGGGGCCATCTTCCATAATGAATGCTTGAATAAAACTAGCTTGATCAATTTCTTTATGCATAGGACAGATTGTTCTAAGTAATGCAAAGTTCAACACAGAAACTAAAGTCTAACTAAAAAATTATATCAATACATTAAGGAATAAAAGTATAAAACAGTACTATGTTCAATAAAAAAACAAAAAAGAAACAAAGAGAGATGTTTTTCCTTTTCTTTTTTTCTGTTTTTTTTGTTGGGAAAGGGACTGGTTCTAAGAAGAGTACAAATAGATAGACTGCTGTACAGTCGGAGCTTACAATGATGAAGAGCCCAGACTACCGACTAAATGCCATGTCCAAAAACTAGCCCTCAAATGCTCTATTTGACAATTGATCCTCATCCATGGAAGTTATTTCAAATCTCAGCAAGTCCTTTCAGATGACTGAAGAAAACTGTTTGCTCAATGTGACGACAGTTCATTGATCTCCAATACAACCACCTCCAAGTATCAGCATGGTGGTTTATCAAATTCTGGCTCCAAACTCCTTCCTCTTTTCTTATTTTCTTCTCTTTTTTTGTATTTTCCTGCTTTTAGCCTTTTTTACAAAGCAGCATTTTTTTCCATAAACCATCTTCCAAGCTTATTATGCTGATTCTAATATGCTGTATGATGGGCTAGGCACCAATTTGGTTCTCATCATATAAACTATAATTCATCTCCCCTATGTGGCAGGAGGAAGCACCTGTTCAGCAGAAGGCAGTGCCACGGTTGCACCTGTATTTGAATCAGTAACTGAAGGCTCCCGTTTCCATTGTAAACTTCTAGCACCAGCTATCATTGGAGCACGCCCTCTGAAGGTGCTACCAGGGAGGCCACCCCTTGGGTATGCCATTCTACCATGCCTGGCATACATTGATGTTCGCCCACCACCAGGCCAACCATAAAAATGTGCAGCTTCATGAGAACTTCGCCTGACAACCTGTACAAGGGAAAAACAAATGAAATATCACCAGCTCCAAGGCAACCCAATATATCAACCAGTAAAGCAATAGAGTGATAGCAAGTTCCTTTTGTGCAACAGTTTCACGGAATACTAATTCAGAAACATAAGGTGGATGAGCTCTGAATTTGGTTAGGAGGATTGTGCTCTATATTCAAACTCCCCTTTCAGTAGAGAGAGATACTCCCTCCGTCCCAAAATATAGCTACCTAAGTACTAGATTAGACACAACCTAGTATTACGAATCTGGACATGGGCTCTATCCAGATTTGTAGTTCTAAGTTGTGTCCAATAATCCAGTACCAGGTTACAATATTTTGGGATGGAGGGAGTAGAAAGTAAAAGGACAAAGCTTGGTCATTGACCATAGTACCTTGAGGATGCGTGCCATGAATGATGTTCCATTCAATGAAAGAGCACGTTCAGCTGATTCTTTATGTAAAAATTCTACGTAAGCAGATCTGTATCGGATAAAAAAAAAGGCATGAGTTCTATTTAGGAGATGAGAATGGCCGACTTCAGATTTTAAGTATAGCTAATTTATTGTAGCCTACTTCATTAACTTGCAAGGATGTTAAACTTATGTGTTGAAAGCATGGCATTTAGATTCTTAAACTTGCAAGAGTAATTCACTCAGTTATGACCAGAGCAACATAGTTTTCGAGCAATGATAAGAAAATTGCATAAGTATTGAGTTCTAAATATCATAAATCTAATGAAACACGACGCAAGTTTAATGCCTGCGATGCCATTTATATTTACTCAAAATATTTTCCTCAGTTTGCATAAAACGATTAAAGCCAGAAGCTTATTTTTTGGGCCGGATGTAGTATTCACAATTTTTCCTATGGAGATATATGACATATAAACTGCTATCACCAATCTGTGAGTTCTACATGTAAAAACCTTTTGATTTGAATACCAAGCCAAAGGTACTCCTGGGTGAGATTTAACACCATATGAAATCAGTCCAAGCTCTACTGACGGTACAGATATAAGGTTGTTCCTAGTTGCATCTGAAGTTTAAGTTTCATGTTAAATGAAGAGAGATATAACTCAAGTTTTTTAGACCATGTGAAGTTGACTTCAAAGTTGAAGATATAAGCACAATAGCACCTAATGGCTGATTTGCACTAGACATGTTCCATCACTCAACATCTCAAAAACCACCATGATATTGCATGGCATTTACGTATATAAGATAAAAAAAACAGCAAAAAAAATCTTCTCAGCAAAATTAGCATATGAAAGAGTACCCTGTTGGCTGCCCTGTTGCTGCATTAGTAACAATAACTACTTTGAGCACCGCACCAAACTTGTTGAAATGGCGAGATAGCGCGTCCTTGGTGGCACCAAAATGAACCTTCAAATAAAATTGACAAAGGTATAAGAATATAGGACAAGAAACCATGTGTGATGAGAAGACATAGATACCAACATTGCTAACATAGAGGGTTCTAGAGTCTGCGTCCTCAGTTGGGTGTGCAGTGCTATATGAACTCGTAACTGCAAGGAAGGACAGATATATTATATTGTGCAATAAACAATAGTGAGATAAGGTGAAACATTCCGTCCTGATGATTGTTTCTGATGGGAATTTACATCAGAGTGCTAGTTCAGCATTATGCTTTGACTTTTGAATTAAACAATTTTAAATGCTAAAATGATTTTGAGTTATGTCACATACCAGATGATGCAATTGCAGATCGCTGTGAATCCTTTTGGACTTCTCCATGAGCTAGTTCCTGAGTGGTTTTCTCAACAGTCAGATAAAATCTACCTGAAGATTCCTAAATAATTTTAAAGCATTGGAGCTAAATACAAGGAATGTGACCAAATGGAACAAACAATTACTCAGTAATTAGGCATAAGTAACAGCTAAAGAATGTAAAATATTTCCTGTGTATTAACAAAATATAGAAGCAAGCTAATACAGTAAGTAGTCTGAATCAATGGAACATGCAAGTGAAGTAGCTATAGGTTTCTCATTCCAAGCATTATTGATGTGAACCAATCTGCATCGGCCTTTTCAGCTGGCCATGAAGAGATAAAAGCACAATAAACTAATCCTGCAAACCACTAACCAACCCAGTTCAATCCAATAGAGGAAAGTAGTGACAAATCATTTAATAATGTGTTTTCACTCGACGATCTGTCAGCCTTGCTTCTCATCTATTCCAGTCAAATGGGAAATCAGCGATAGTTATCACATGCAAATATCCAATATACTTACTTAGATGATACTTTTTTAAAAATAGAAGTAAAACTTTAAGCAAAATAATCAGAGTGGGTATGCAGAAATGGTAAACATAGTGCAGTTACTAAGCAGTTACTAATAAAATTTGATTGGTTTAAAATATGAAGCTACTTACTTTGATATTACTAGTCAGAGAGGTAACAGTAGCATTCATGGGTGTAATGTCCGTTTTCTCTACAACATGAACATCTTTTGGTGTCTCATAATTGGAAGGTTCCAGATTGTTGGCATTAACTGGGACAACCACAGTTTTGCTCATACTTATTACTGACAAAGAACCTGGTTGCTCCTCCTTAATCAAGTTTGAATGCCTCATTGTACTGGTCTCTGGTTCAACACTGCATTTCACGAAAACATCTTTCTTCTCCACAACTGAAGGGTAAGCAGCTACTTGTGAATCGGAACTTCCATATCTAGTGATTCCATCATCTCTGCTAACATCATCATCAGATGTAGAATCAACATTCATTTCAGCTTCCCCATCTTCTAATGTTATGTCTCCGGATATCTCATCATCATTATCGTATCGATCAGAATCATGATCATCTGCAGTTGTAGCTGGTTTGAAATCTTCGTAATCTCTCTGCTGTTCACGAGAACGGGGTGTCTGATTCACAGCATTCCCTTGGCCTAATCGACTAAACACGCTTCCAGTAGATCTAACTTTGGTAGAATCTGCAGCAGCCTCTGCGGCAGCTCTGAGAGCTAAAGCAGCTCCAGGTACTTGAAGAATTTGCCTAGTTCTTTCTGGCTTTTTGTCATACAGGTGGCCCTCTGTAGATGTTTCTATTCTTTTACCATGCAGGCTGTCTGCAGATGATGTGGAAACCACAGAACGTAGGCGCTTAGAAGATGGTTCCGTAGAGCTGCTGGTTTGCTGTACAGCTTTCACAGCATCTCGAACAGCAAACTTTAGAAGACGGCAGGAGGCACCAACGTCACGGCGCAAAGGCAAGTCTCTCTGGCAATAAAGAAAAGAATTGTTGGTAAATGACATGTTTTGAATTTTGCATAATTAATTTTAAACAATGAAAATGAAAGGCTAAAGAAAACATTGTCTCCAGTAGAGACATTAAGAATGAATGCTTCCAGTCGTACCGAAAATTGAGGGGCTGAACTAAACTGCAGTCTAACATTCCCTTATGAAAATTTTAGAGCAGAAAACCAACAATATTTCAGGTAGATAGTACATACATAGACTGTATTGGCTATTTGGTGATTTCCCCAACACTTAGAAACATGAAAAAATAACTAGATCAGCTAGTTGTTCATTCTAATTGCGAAGTATTGCAGAAAACACAAACAGCTAGAGCCCACATATGCATATTCATGAGATGAAAAATTGTTAATTCATCAGTTGCAAAGAACGTTTGTTGCAATGTAGTGTATAGTTCAAATAGGGAATGTGGAAAATCGCAGTGCACCTTCATTTTAACAACTAACATGATACTATCCTCTTATAATCCTGTGCTGATGCTATAAAAGTTCATATTTAGTGTGTTAAAAGGAATCTTCCATTGCACAATTTAGAGAAGTATAAACAATTAAATGTTTAGCTGCAACACAAAGCAAGTTAATGAAAAAGTGAATCATTAAAAAAGTATGCAAGACAGCAGAGTGTTTCAGTCAATCCATTTGGTTAACACAAGCATTATGCATCTCCTATTATCACATCACACACCTTTATTTGTTGCGGTTCGTCATCCCTGTCACGCTTTCTGCCATTCCGTTGATTAGACGATGGGGGATGTCGTATTTCATTAACCTTTTGCGACCTTTTCTCCTCACCATGCAAAATATCCTTCAGTACACTTCTAAGTGGAAAGTTTTCATTACCCTCCCGACCAATTCCTTTCCAATCCCTTTTAGTCCGACTTCTGGTTGTACTGGGTTCACTTACACACTCAGGATGAGTTTGATCTTTGCTTCTCAACTGCAACTCTGACGATTTCTGTTCTCCAGGTAGTTCATTTGGGGCTTCGTCATCCTTATTATCCACCTGCAGTTGTTCTTGTGTTTGCACATAAAGGTGCAAATTTACAGATAAATGATCCCACAACCTACATGAAAGACATGGTATTCAGTTACACTTGATAAAGTAATATGCATGTAAATAAGCAAGGATTGTTTATTGTTCTGGACTGGATATTTTGTTGAAGTGGTATGAGAAGTATGCACAAGAAATGATGGATTCAGGCAAGAAACAGTCTCTGTAACCTGAACTGCTTGTATGGGCAAATGACAAAGGCTAAATTAATCAGTAGATACAAACCAGTTTCAGGTTTAACAAGTAATTATAATATATTGTAGTCCTTGCAAATTATATACAGAAATAATCCAGGTAAAAAGTGTTTTTCGTTTTTACTACAGTCAACCTCTCCACTTCACACGAATGGTAAAGTAGCAAAATTTATTTAAAAAACCAATGCAAAGATCAAAAACATTTTTTTTAATTCTTTTCCAATGCTCAGTCACAAATGATTTGCGATTTGATTAAAGAGTTACATGGCAAGTTCTTGAACTTGCAGATGGTTGATCTTGATCCATGTACTTCCAAACAAGTTTATCTAAGGGCCTTTTCTAAAGTGCTATTTGAGCTTATCTACGCCTCGTTCCCATTAGCACGCTTTTCAAACTGCTAAATAGTGTGCTTTCAAAAATTCTATATAGAACGTGCTTTCAAAAATGAAATAAATTTATTTTTCAATTTTTTTATAATCAATACACAATTAATCATATACTAATCACATTTCTCATTTTGCGTGCAGCTACTCAGCTAAATTCATCCTCTAAAAAAGAGCGTGGCCTAAACCCATAATGTGATTTAGTTGGGTCATGCAGCAGCCCAACCATATCGGCATGGATGTCTTTGCTTATGTGGATGGATGCGCCTAGCCATGCTGCAGGGTTACTTTTAGCAGGAAAATTATACTCCATGGGATGTGGCATATTTTCATACGCCCCTCTAACCAGATGTTATAAATGCTTTTGATGGTTAAATGTATGCAAAACATCAATTTGCCTAAGTACCAAAGGAGTAAATTGCATAGTCTAGGAGTAAATTGCTAGGCATGCATTAGTTCAAAAATATAGAGAACGCTGTGCACAAATGCAAAAATATATTAAAGGTTGGTTTAACAACATAGTTGATGCCAAAAAATTAAGAATTCAATCTATATGACATGTGAACTAACCAGGAAATAAAGGCGCGACTATCCTTTCCCAGAAATACATCAAGCTCCTTGATGGCCTCATCTTTGCGCTTTCCACCTTCGAGCAACAAAATGACGTACTCCTGCACTTAAAACAACAACAGAGGTACACTTATTGCTTTCTCTAGGAGCATTTCAGTGTAACATAGAAAAGGTAAAGGATGGTATTTAGCATTCTAGTGTGTAAGAAAATGAATAAAATGAATTCAAGGCAATACAATGTGCTGAAAGCAATGTATTCCATGCCATTGCAGGATGCTTCCTCAGACAGAATATGTCAATTCTACCCACGATGATTAAAAATGGTGTCATTAATTAAAGGTAGAGGAAAACCTAGCAGCAGATTCCTGCATAAATGCTATAACCACAATGAGGAGATGCAGCAATCTTATCACAGTTTGGTCACCTTTGGATAGTAAAGTGTTGTGCCCAAGAAGATGAGGTCAAAATAGCAAATCTGGTTAAGAAAATTTGGTGATGGATGGGGAAAGGGAAATAGAAAATAAATGGCGTGTTAATAAGAACTAAAATGGAAAGCACCCATGGGAACTTGACTAATCACAAGTCAAGTATGAGATAATGTAATCTTTGTTGCTACACTGCATGATCATGTTCTTGAAAGGAGATATCGATCTCCTAACCTAGTATTAAATAAATAAACTTAACTAGATTAGACCAAAATATCCATCCATACATGGCAAAAATAAAAAAGGAACTTTAAGAATTTCTAGGCTCCTAGCATCTAATCAGTGATCACCTCGCGAAAAGAATCTCCTAAGAAAAGCAATGGAGCGGCAGTACATTATGCTCCCATTTTAGAATTTTTTTTTTGGGACATGTTTCAGGTAACTACACAATATTCTAGTGCTTCTGGCACCATTAGACCGACTGGATTCAATTAAACAAAGCACAGCAGTATACAGGGGCACTACATTAGAGCAAATAAAAAACATTCCGTTCCAACCCAACTACATTAGAGCAAATAAACAACATTTCGTTCCAACCCAACCAAACCTCCAGGAAGCGAACACACCCAACATATTTAAAGAAGACGGGATCTTACGGCAATTATGAGTGATTACACTAACAGCAGAGGACCAAACATTAAACACAGCGCGCAGCGGCATAATTCGGGCTAGGTTACATGAAAGTTTAGCAAAATTTTAGCTCCTCCGCACAGGCATATATCTCACACAAACCGCGGCATACCACTACAAAAGGCGCTCAAAACTAGACTAAAATCCCGAAGTTGCAAGCATATAATCCAAACCACAAACGAACGGCGTCACTACACTGCCCGCACACCGAGCGGAGCGCCAACGATGCGCGAGAGGAGGGAAGGGAAGGGAAGGGAAGAGAACGGTGGCGGCGGCGTCGTACCACGAGGGTGTTGTTGGTGTAGTCGTCCACGAACTCCCGCAGCTTCTCCCGCACGCGCTCGCTGAGCTGGACGACGCCGGCGCCGGTGAGGTCGGCCTTGAAGTACCGGCCTCCGTCGCCGCCGCCGCCGGCGGCATCCTCCGCCTCCATCGCGGCGGAGGCTTCCAGAACCCCCCTCGCCAAACCTAGATCCAGCCCAGTGGGGTCCCGGGGCCGAGACGGGTGCAGACGAAGCGGGCCCGCGGCGACCTTATCCGCGCCGCTCTCATCCACGGGGCCCGGGGAGCTCCGACGGCGCCGCAGCGGTCGACTGCCCGGACGGCGGCGGCGGCGGCGGCGGCGGCGGCGGCGACGCGTGGAGGCGGAGGTGGAGATGGGGGTAGGCAGGGAGGGGAGGCAACGAGGGCGAGATTTATTGGGTTTTTTGCGTTTATAGGCGCCAGGTAGGTGGTTTTGCCATCACAGAATTGATGATTCAACTGCGCTTTTTTACACCGTGTTTGGAATTCTAAACGACCTTTTTACCGTGATTTGGGAGAGCAGGGTTGGCTGCAAAAGCCCAGTAAAAAGGGATATATATGTTAATTAATTAATTAATTAAAGAAATTATAAAGATAAGAGCAGAGTTATTGTACGCGTATTTTACGCGGTGTATACGCGTAGAAGGCAACCACCACCTCCGCTGACACCTGTCTCTGATGCGGCAATGTGGAGCGACACTTGTAACCGATGCGGTGATTCGAGGTGACAACTGGAACTGATACGCTAATTTAGGCGACGACTGGAACTGATGCGCTGATTAATGTGACACCTGTAAAGACTGGAAGTCTAGAATTTGTATGCTAGTTCGGGTGACACCTAGCCTCGTACGCTAGTTCGAGTGACACCTGAACTGATGCGCTTGTTCGAATGACACCTGTATTGGTACGCTTATTTTGGGTGATATCTAAAAGGTTAGAACTTGTCTGCTTATTCAGATAACACCTGGAATCTATGTTAATTCTAGGTGGCACTTGGAAGGTTGAAACCACTGTGCTAATTGAGGTGACACCTATAAATGGTACGCTAATTCCGTTGAGACTTATAACCAATGCAATGAATAATCAAAGAAAACAAATATAGCAACGTAGAATAATACTCCCTTCGTTCGAAAATATAAGCATTTTTAGAATAGTGCGAAGTCAAACTTTTAAATTTTGACTATTAATAGCAAAAAAAATTTAAAAGATTAATCATGTAAAAATGAACTATTATAATATGCAAACTATCTTTATTTAAAATATATTAGTCTTATAGATATTGTTGGTCAAAGTAGTTCTCGAAAACCGTCCCGAGGTAACGGAGGGAGTAGTTGGCAAGAAACGAAAATGACACAAAATCGAGCAACTGCGCATAGTCTTCCTTGAAACACGTAATTTAGTAGTAGTAATACATTTTTATTTGATTATGTTGATAGGAACCTTTATTCAAATTCATTCATCTAAAATATTTTCATGCTAAAAGGCTAATAATACTATACAATATATTGGCTACACAGACCGTTAAGAAACCCTAAAATATTTTCTTGGGAGGGAAGTAACATAACAATATTAGTAAATATTAATAACATAATACACGCGTCAACTGACATGTTGATTTCTCGCGGCAAAAACAAAGACATCTAGGCTATGTTTGGATCCATGGGAAATTTTTTAGCCCACCCCTAACCCCTTTTAGCCACAAAATAGCTCAAGGGGAGTCAAACAGGAGGGCTATTTGTAAATAGCTCACCCCAAAAATTATCACCCTCAAGGGGTGCTAATTGGGGCTATTTGGTATGGGGCCTACCGATTCCCATTATCTCTCACTTGCTCTGGATCCCATTGCAGCCACCCACACTCGTCGTCCCTCGCTCTCGCCCTCGCTCGCTCTCCAGAACCCTAGAGCCACCTCGATCTATCGTCGCCGACCTTTGCTCGCGCCGCCGCCCGGCCCCACCCACGCTGCCCCCTCCCCTTCACCCGCACCGCTCCTTCCTTTAGATCCGCCGCTGGCCATCCATGCCGGCGCCTCACCCCACCCGCATTGCCAGCCACCGGATCCGCCGTCCACACATCACCGCGCACCGGATCTGCCGGAAGATGGACCCCAACGGCTTCGATTTCTTCTCTCAAGATCCTATTTAGTCCGTAGCCGGCAACATTTGGCCCTCGCGGCTGTCGGCGTCTAGCCCTTCCCACGAATCCGTTCCCCGCGCCAGTGTTGACACGCTGGACCTCAACGCCTAGGCGGCGTTGGGCCAGGAGTTCCCTCACCTCTACGAATACGGTGCCTTCCTCTAGGGTGGCGGTGAGGAAGGAGCTAGCCGCGGCCAGGGCTCCGGTCTCCCTCCCCTCCACGCACCACACTCTCTAGGAGTGAGGGAGTTTGACTTGATCACTTATTAAAATTAAAACAGTTTGACTTTAACAAAAGTCAAAATATCTTATAAACTGAAAATAGAGGGAGTATATACTATATGGATGAAAATAATTTACAGGACAATGTTTGATTACGCGTATAGTAGATCCATAATTTATACAAAACTGCTTTAATTACATCTCGGGCAGCAAAGCTACTAGAAATTGTTTCGCCCAGCTGCTAGCTCTCCACTCGATCGAGACAAGTCGTGGACTCCGGCCGGCCGGCGGCGGCGAACAATGGCTAGCTAGGACTAGGAGCTAGCCGGCGGCGGTCTGGCGGGGTCGACGGTCTTGAACGACTGGTGCAGCCGGCGGAGGACGGCCTCGTCGCGGCTCCACTCCGGGTTGGGCGCCGTCACGAAGTGCGCGTACAGCTTGTTCCGCGCGCACGTCACGGAGATGAGGCTGTGCGCGCCGGCGCCGGCGATCTCGTACTCGTAGTAGAGCTGCCCGCCGCCGTCCCTCCGCTCCGTCGACAGCACGCCGTCCGCCGACGCGATCTGGTCCTGGAGCCCGACGTCGGAGAGCGCGAGGTTGTCGAGCACGGCGCCCACCGGCGCCAGCGCCCGGAACCCGGCGAGGAACGTGAGGTACTCCCGCTCCGACCGCTTCCGCGGGTTGAAGAACTCGCTGTCCGTGCCGTTGGTGCCCTTCTCCACCTTGGACACCAGCCTCTCCTTCCACCCCTCCGGCACCTCGTACACGTACTCCGCCGCGTCCTTCTTGCTCGCGTTCCCGCCGTACCCGCCGTAGTTCGCCGCGCTCGCCGCCGTGCCGTAGTACACCTTGAACTCCGCCTCCCCGGCCGCCGCCGCCGCCGCCGTGGCCGGGGACAGCGCCAGGAGCCCCGCCGCGGCCACCGCTGCGAGAGTGGCGGCGAGCGGCTTCGCCGGCGCGAGCCTGACAGCCCTCGGCGACGTGGAAGAGGTGGTGGTGGTGGGAAGAGGGGAAGGGGAGAGGAGGGAGGCGAGGAGCATGGCCATGGTCGACGTCGGAGAGGCCGGGGGGAGGGGAAGATGCGGTGGTTGGCGCGCGTTTTCTTGTGTGGTTTTTTGTGTCGGCGAGAGGATAGGAGAGATCGGCGTGGCTTATCCGGTGATGAGACGACATGGCAGTATGGCACTTGCCGCCACTGCCTTTCGCTGTATTTTGTTGGGATCACCTGTACATTTCTTCACAAATTTTTTTTTAAAAATTTAACAAATATAATTATAGTATAATCATGATGTAATTATACTATAACTTACATGTAACTTTTAAAAATCTCTCCATAACATACTATTTCGGTGAAATGGAGGTCTGGGAACGAATCCTCTCATATATATGCATGCAGCGACTTTTTTTCCTTCTTCACTTGTACGAATGTTGAAACAAATATAACGGTTCAAAATTATGTGAAAGTTATATGCAAGTTACATACAAGTTATAATGTAATTACATACAAGTTACAGTATAATTACACTACGATTATACTGTAGTTATATTTGTTAAATTTTTAGAAGAAAATTTGTCGATAAATATATAGCAAAATTGATAAACTTAAAGTTGTGCCATTGTTTATTTCTGTTATGGTTAGGTTCTGAGTTAAAAATTTGTAGCTTCACTTGAAGCAAACACCGGGTTTCATATCCATTATCCAAAAAACTCCGTCCCCGTACAAACATGTTTTTTTTTTCTCGAACATTTTTCGCCGCTGTTTTGACCCTGAAAAGGGCAGGATTGCACGAGAAGTTAGAACCCCAGAACGTGTCACTGACGTGCGGGGCCAACCAAGCCCATGGGCCCTCATCTCGGGTGGGCCGAGCGCTTTGCGACCACTATTCATGGGCCGAATACTCCTCGTCGGCCGCAGCCTAGTATAGCCCAAAAAGAGACTGGAAGTGGAAGCGTACTCATCAGAGAAGTCAGAAAGGGAGGAGAGCCGTCGCCGCCGTGGGATGTCGCCGTCGTCGTCGTCGTCGAGCACGGGGCCGATGGGGGTGGCGGTGTCGCCGGAGGTGGAAGCGGCGCTGGCGCGCGGCGGCGCGGTCGTCGCCCTCGAGTCCACCATCATCTGCCACGGTAAGCTCGCGCCTCGCCGCCTCCTCCCCACCCCGTCTCCCTCCCGGATTACATGGCTCACTCCGGCGATGTGCGCCCGCGGCTGGGGGACGCGTTTGGCTTTCTTCCCATCCCAGGTATGCCCTACCCGAAGAATCTCCAGACCGCCATGGAGGTGGAGGCCGTCGTGAGGGAGAACGGGGCGGTTCCTGCCACCATAGCCATTCTGAACGGCGTGCCACATGTTGGTGAGTCCTGTGATTTTTCCTGTGACTCGGAGATCAGATACATGTTCAACTGTTCAAGTGCTGGAGGCGTGATCCGTAGTTGCTAGCTACTATGAATTATTCTCCAATTAACACCGGATAATTTTCGTAATGTGATAGGCCTTAGCGGCGAGCAATTGAAGAGCTTGGCTGTAAGTGGAAGACAGTTTCAGAAGACGGCTAGAAGGGATATTGCACATGTTGTGAGTACCTTGCACACTAGAAATTGGTCGTTCAGAATGTTTTCCAATGTGTTCAGTTATATCTGCACTAAAACTTTACAGTTGATATATGTTTCTCGTCTTATTGCTTCCTGTAACGAGTTTTACTGATTGAAAGGTGGCCTCTGGTGGTAATGGTGCAACAACAGTTTCTGCCACTATGTTTTTCGCTCATAAGGTCAGAGCCAAAAACATCTTACTGCTCTTGTTACTGTTAATTTATCTTTCCTTGATTTGATAGCCTTTTTCTTGTTCATCTTTGTTACATGTAGTTGGTGCCAATCATTCATCTCTATATCAAACTAAAGTTGCTCTCAAATTCAGGTTGGCATACCAATTTTCGTAACTGGAGGGATTGGAGGTGTTCATAGAAATGGTGAACAGAGTAAGTACCTTCCTCCTTCCAATCGTGTAAGGAGTCCCTTGCTATCTGCACATTTTACAGTTGATGCTTCAATCAGTTTTTCTGAGTTATGAATGGATGCTGTAGCCTTCCATTTTAATATCGTTTACTATTACCATGGGTCTAAATGTGGATTATAGCAGCTCATGCCTGATAGAGGTCATGTGGCTTAATAGCTCTAAAAGAGGGCAAGTGAAATGACATGTTTATTATATCTAGACGATGTAATTTTTTGTTGATTTATACCATTTCGATCAGTTTGTGTTTCTTCATGTGTTGAAAACTTAGCAGAAATTTAATATGCCTCTTGATTTTTTGTAATCTAGTTTGTCTATGCCTCTTGATTTTTTGTAATCTAGTTTGTTTTCTTTAGCTTTTCTGCATCCTGTTGTCATTCTCTAGTTAATTTAAGAGTAAAGTGCACGGGCGGTCCTTAAACTTGCAGGGGTATGTCATCTAGGTCTCTAAACTCTCAAAATACATATCCAAGTCCAAGAACTTGTCATAGTGTGTCATTTAGGTCCCAAATCGCCCCAGCCCCTATAGGATCCTACGTGGCACTGATGTGGCATGCCACACGGACAAGACGTGGCATCATTTTGACTAACAAATGAAACCCATTTATCTTTTTCTTCTTTTCTTATCTTTTCCTCCTCCTCTTTTTTTTCTTTCTTCTCCTTTTTTTTTCTTTTCCCGAGTAGAAGAAAGGAAAAAAAAAGAAGAATGAGAAGAAAACGAAGAAAAAAGAAGGGAAAAAGGAAGAAAAGGACATATCACGTCCATATGGCATGCCATATCAGCGCCACATAGGATTCTATAGGGGCTATGTCGATTTGGGACCTAAATGATACACTTTGACAAGTTCTGGAACCTAGATGTGCATTTTGAGAGTTTGGGGACCTAGATGACACAACCTTACAAGTTTAAGGACCGCCTATGCACTTTACTCTTAATTTAAGATGCTGATGGTGTTATACCATCTACTCAGTTTGAACCCTGAAGCTAAATATTTATTTATATCCATTATCCACACGTTCTTTGAAATACATTACCGACAGTTTGTTGTATATACTTGATTAAGACATCAATTGATTAAGCACACGTATGTCCTATTAAACAGTTTGCACTGTTTGATGCAGCCATGGACATCTCCTCAGACTTAACTGAACTTGGAAAGACTCCTGTCACTGTTATTTCAGCTGGTGTGAAATCTATTTTGGACATACCACGGACACTTGAGTACTTGGTATTACCTATCACTCCCACTCTTCAAAAGAATGGCTCTTTGATCTGTTAAAAGTGAACTTCCGTCAGTTCATGTAGATTGTTTTCTTGTTAGAACATTGGATACTTCACACACTGTGTATCAGTATTTTCTGGATTCTGTTCATGAAGTATGAGTGGAGCAGCTGTTTTCAGGGGCTCTCCAACAAAATTCTGTAGTCATATCTGTTAGACCACTCTGATATAGGAATACTAATGTAGCATTATAATTTAAATATGAAGTATTACAAAACAAGGTTTACCTAGTAGCAAAGCAAAAAATGCTGTGGAATTGGTAGCTTATTTTTACTCCTAGTGATGTGCTGCCATAAGTATGCTGTTAGCTGCACCGTTACTATGATAGGATGATACACTGTGCAAATTACAGAGCCAGGATCTGATACAGTAAGAAACCAGGAACCAGAAATTAGTTACCACGAAAATTAGCTCACTTCCTATGTATTTTTTGTTGTTATATTTCCCTCAAGAAATAGAATGCTGTTGCATCAGAACCTGAAAGTTTTCTCATGTCCATGATAACTCCATCCAGACAAGTAAAACTGCTAGATCTACAACTGAGGGTTTATAGTTTTCCAGAATCATACGTTTGTTCATTTTATTCTCCATAATCTACGACCATCCTTTTCAAGTAAGTCATGACAATTTTCTGGTGTTTCTTGGTATAGACAAGTTATTTCTTTAGGTTTTACTCGTTAAATGTGCTATATTTGAAATTTGGTGTATTTCTGGCTAGGCATTTCAATGAATGCAATGTTGTTTGGTGCTCAATCGTATAGGTTAACTGATTGCATTGGCAGGAAACTCAAGGAGTAACGGTTGCTGCTTACAAAACCAATGAATTTCCTGCTTTCTTTACAGAAGTCAGCGGATGTAAGGTAGAATAATTTGCTTATGTAAAATGTTTATAAGCTATATTTAATTTTTGTTTTGTTTGTTTAAGGAGATTTTCTTTTCTGTAATCTGGTGTGAATCTGTATAAAAAAGAAGAGCTGGAAATGAGTATGGGTGTTGATTTTTCAATGTTGTGTATTGTGTTGATCTGAAGGTCCCAGAATCTTTCCTTTATATATTTTGCCATGAGCCCTTGGTACAGTATCTTTTGTCTCACTGTACTGCAGTGTTAGGATGTTTGTACTAACTGGCTCCTGTCTGCTTAATTTAGGTGCCATGTCGCGTTGATTCTCCCGAAGAGTGTGCCAAGATAATATGTAAGTATTAAAGTTCGCATTTACCCCATCTGTATTCATATCTGTATCATTTGTGCGATATTGGTTTGACATGCACTGTTGGCACATGATCCATTAACCCGAACTGATTGAACTCCAGCAGACATCCAATACCTTTTGACCTTTTTACTCTGTTGGTTACAGAAAGCTACTGGCCAATGTTAATTCAGAATCACGTAAATTCAACACCAATATCCTATTAGAATCTACAATTGAGTCAGCATAAGATTCAGAACTGAAAGCAGCACATAACACGAATCGGGAGTTCACTATTGTATAGAGTTTGATTTTATCCTATGAATTACTATAACTCAACTGGAAAAAGAATTTATTGTAACACAGAGTTTATCAGCATTGCTGATTTATATCTATTTTTTACAGATGCAAACAAGAATTTACATCTAGGATCTGGGATTTTGATTGCTGTGCCGATTCCCAAGGAACATGCAGCTTCAGGAAATGCTATAGAGTCTGCAATACAGAAAGCCCTCAAGGAAGCAGAGTATTGTCCTTACTCCCAACCTCCTGCTCTCTCACTTTATCTTTTCTGTGTATTTGTGATACTAACAGAAATGATATCTAATGACTTTCTATGTTGTTTCAGGGATAAAAATATAATAGGCAACGCGATCACTCCCTTCATGCTTGACAGAGTGAAAGTACTAACTGGACGATCTTCGCTAGAAGCCAGTATCCTACAAATTTAATTTCAAACTTTGCTGTATTTTGAACCACGATGATTTTCGTATTTCCCTGTAGTTTTGAGCATTGATTAGCTATTTATTTCTATTTCAACATGCAATTTGGCATTTGGATCTTTTCAAGTTGGACTTTATGAGAGAAAAATCAAAAGGTTCAAACGTTTAGATGAATAACATCTGATTTCCCCCTCTTGTTGTTTCCTGTGTCAATAGAAACTTCTCCTTAGCATATTCAGATATTGCGCTTGTAAAGAACAATGCTCTTGTTGGTGCTAAAATTGCTGTGGCCCTTTCTGATCTTCACCAGAGAGTAACAAACAGTAAGGTTCTCTCATCAATAATAATAGTAAAATCCTAATTCTGTAATTATCTCTACAACTAAATACTTAGGCATCCTGGTTCATAAAGATTTGCAAGGTTATCTGTTCTTCTTGCATGTTTTTAGTTTTTACTGGATTTAGTCTACTGTCTGTGTTTATTGTTGGAGCTAGACCCTAGACTTGTGATCACACTCACGTCTGCTCTGGGCCAGTGATTTGCTTTTTTATGTGAGATATCACACTAGCATCTCCTCTGCCTACATGTTCAATTGAGACCTAACAATTTTGAACTTGCTGTAACAGGATTTCGGAGGTCTGCCTTATAGAGTGCATGTACAAAGGCAAGCGAGGTCTGAAACATGGGGCATCCTATTCATCCTCACAATGTATGCTTGTACAACTAGTTGGAAACTTGTAGCTTCATCCTTTTCTGGCACTATATAAATGAAACCTGAGGTGCGAGTGCATGATTTGTAGCGAGATTTGCTACTGTAGACTTAAATTAGTACATTCCACTCCAGCATAACGTGTTCTTCACTTTTTCGGGCGTGTTCTTCACTTTTTTGTTAATCTGATCTTCTGCTTTCACCTTGAAAACTTGAAATTAATTTGAACTGGGCATTCAGTCCTCCTATTTGGAGTGCATGAACTGTTGTCAAACTAATGTGGAATTTGTGACTTGTCAACAGGGCCAGTGTTTGCTCTATTGCGTTGATCATAAATGAATAATGCGAGGACTGACGACGCCATCCGCTCCCAGCTTGGGTTGGCACGAATGCCTGATATCCAGGTCATTTCTGCAAGTGGCCCATTAGGCTGGCCTGCTTCTGTCCAGGTAAGAACTTCTATGGGCCACAATACATTTGGGCCATCTGGTATGACATTATTAGGCTCTGATGATTTTCTAATTTCTAGCAGTGTTATTGTTTTTCATCTTTAATTTTATTGGGTTCAACACTAGAACTTGCTCACAATGTTACGTTCATTTGGAGTACGTGGTGCTTGCTGCACTATACTAGTTCAGTTCAATCAGATCCTAGTAGTAGTCAAGACCGGGGTACGGTTAAGTCAAACTACCGGGTGGTAGCCGGGCTGTTGAAGGTAGTACAATTTAAAACTTTCTCCAACATCTAACTCCAAGCAATATCAATCGAACAATACCCCAAAATTAACATATGTGCTCTGGTAACCGGATGGTGGATGCTAATGACCTACAGGATTAATTTTCGTACGAATTAGTTCAATTTATTAGAGAAAAAAACTAGCAAAATTTCTTTGTTCCAAAGAAGGCCGCTAGCTAGAAATGCATATATTTTGGAACAAGGGATTGAGAGAGTAGTCCGTAGCAAAATGGGAGCTCTCATAATTTTTCTCAGCTGATGGTAGAATGCCTCTGCTGTAGTGCTGTCTCCTTCCATTCCCCTATACTGCGATTTCGAGCTCGAACAGTGCTCAACAAATTCATGCATGTGCATTCATTCATCATTCAGCATGCTGATCGATCTGCATGTAGCCGGCCGGGGAGCTAGCGGTAACGTGCGGTAGCTGCAGCTTGTGCATGGTCTCTGTTTGGGTCATTCCGAGCTGGCACAGTTACTCCAGTAGTCATGTCAGCTTTCCTAGCCAGGCCTAGTGTAGGATAGCTACATACTAGCTTTCACCCCCTTCCTTCCTGCCTGCATCTGCATGCATCCATCCATGCATTGTGTGCATTGTATAGCTGCTGCTTTTACTCCAGTTTACAGTTGGCTTGTCACTACAGTTGAGACCCTGTGCAACCACTACTACTGCCAATGCAATGCAATGGCAATGGCAATGGCAATGGCAATGCAAGGGTAGGGTAGAATGCAAGAGCTGCCGGCCTCCAGCCTCTACTCGGTTTTGGAGGGGGGGACAGGAAGTAATGTGGGGTGCATTTATGCCATGCACCCATCCATCCATTTTGCTGTGTTCCGTGGAGTACGTACGTACGTGTCACCAGTATGGCAGTAACTGTACCACCCTCTTGCCCAAAGGCGCATTTACTCTCATCTCATCTGCCTAGCTATAGCTCTTCCATTCTGCTGACATTTTGTCCAAATTACATGCATGCATATATCCATCCCATGCATACATTTTGCCCAAATTTCTTTTATCCCATTCAGATGTGTTTTAGAGAGCCCTCGGCGGAGCCAGAATTTAAACTTGGGAGAGAGGTATAAGAGTCACGAAGGGGTCTAATACTCCATTACGTAGCTTAATTACATAATTCGTCAGATGATTCTATGTAGAAAATTTGTTGGAGGCCTGGAGGGGGCTTGCGGACCCTGCCGCCCCCCTGTCTCTGCCTTTGATGAGAGCACAAACAGAGCGCTGAAAGAGAGTCGTCATGTTTGTCATAAGGTCCTACACTTTCCAATGTTAATCGTCAAAGAAAAAATATATCACAACTGGTGTAAATTGTACTATCTTCGTTCCAAAATATAAGGACTTTTAGGACTAGACATAACTTTTAAGAAAATAGGTAGAATTAAATGGGCAAGATTATGATTGGATAAGAAGTGAAGATATGTTGAATGGTAGAGAATTGTGATTGGTTGAGAAAAAAATATTGGTGGAGAAGTTGTTATATTTTAGAATAAATTCTAAAAGTTAAAAGTTGTTATATTTTGGAATAAAGAAAGTATTCATATAGATCGATCAACTTATACAGTATGTTTGAATAACATTGTAAGATCCTACCGTACTATGTACTCCACCATCACTAGAGTTCATGATATTATAAATAGCATGTCTGATTGGATAAAATCCAAGGTGTCACTGCAATTAATACGGGGAGAGACAACCTATGTCCTACATAAAATCCAACCTTAAGAATATATAAAAAAAGCATTTGATGCATACATATTGTGTCTAGACATGAATCGATTGAAATGGGGATTAAGGTAACGATATTGATTAGTTGAGTCTGAGATAAACCCCATATATATATATATATGTATATGCACTAAGTGAACAGTTTTCTTGAGTGGTGTTTTAGATGGTATGGACAACTCTAGTTTGTAATGTAAATTCCCTTCATCACATAATAATATAGCAATCTATAATCATATAAGATATTAGTACAATGAATCTAGATAGCTGTAACGGAGTTAATATATCATGAATTAATGCTCTTATATCTATGTCGATGGAATAAGCTAGTGGCTTGTTTGGTATCTCGATGGAAAGGGATTGGGAGTTTACACAAGGGAATTGATGATGGGATTAAGATGGGAATTTGATTTTTAATCCCAATATCTTGTTTGGTAGAGGTGATGGAAATTGATAGGGAGTTTAGTTGGAGATTAGGTCATTAATAAAAATGGATGGCTGAGATTTGCTTAGACAAAGTAAAGGAGGAATTCCCTCACAATTACCTGCCGCTACCCAGGTATTGAAAATGAGGGAGTTTCTTCCTCAATTCCCCATCCCCAGCCCACCAAAATTCCTATGTCACCCTACCAAACAAAACACTTAATAGTCTCATCCCTTTAAACTCTCAATCCCTCCTAAAAACTTCCTCCAACCAAACTGGCCGTAGAGGTATACAAACACATGGATTACTAATTAATTTCAAAGAAAAAAAATGTATGTTAAATTAAGAAAACAACGTCTACTAGTACTGTTGGGCCGTGTTACTATCTGGGAGGGATTCTCTCCCTAGGTGCCTGATACGGACGAGAGGGAGAGCAAATCACCAGAGTAAAAAGTGCCTCGTAAACCCGATTTGGGGAGACAGTGCTGTTCCTACCCTGTTAGGGCGTGCACGAGACAGCACGTCACTTGTATATTCCCTCTTGTGCTTCTCCTGGTCTCCCCATCTACCTGCATGTGTCGCTATAGTACTAGTAGTAGCACTACTACTACAACTACAACCACTACCAGCTGTGTGATCACTCCATTTTTCAATGCTCGAGTCTACAACACGCACGCATGCCCTGCTCTGCCCCTACTAGAAGAGAGTATAAGAAAGGGGCATGTAGTGTAATGTTGGTCACTTGGTTGGCAATTTGGTATGCATGTGTAGATGCAAACGCACATTTCAACATGATCATTGGTAGTGTCAATAATATTTCTCGTTCATATACCCAAGGATCTAAGAAGAACCGCGTAGCTGTCAAGGGAAACATGGGAGATCAACTTGTTTATGTGTGCATGCAGTGCATGCAGAGAAAAGGGTTAATGACACCCGAGCTGCATATATGGTCAATTAACTACTTCTACGTATATATACATCCCTTTTTCATATACTCCTATATGGGTTTATTTTTTCCTCTGGTTTACAAATAATAATAGTCTGAAGGTTTTGATTAATTATGGTCTAGTACAAAATTAATTATCTTGACTACTCCCTCCGTCTAATAATATAATAGTCTAGAACTAAATGAGACACATGCTAATAGTACAAATTTGGACATTGTTTAGATTTGTAGTATTATGTTATTATATTTTGGGACGGAAGAAATTATATAATTTTACATCGACTTGTACAGTGAACTAGGCATAGAAATTTTACCAATACACTAGAGCTAATAAACTAATCTAGGATAATATATGATATTTTTCAGTATAATATATATATCTCGATAATGGAAACATTATATCATATCCTAGGGACGGAGGGAGTACTAGTGAATATAGCGATTAGCAATTGATGAAAAATTGAATGGTGTACCCGGGTCATTCCAGTCCAGGAGATGAGTATAGCACAATCTTATTCAGATTTCTAGGTAATGTTGTCGTACGAGCGTGCCATTTCTCTATCTACGCATTGGGAAATGAGATGCCCCTCCACTCGGCTACCTGAGATTAATTGAGTATAAACTATTTTAAACTTAAAAATAGATTAATATGATTTTTTAAAAACAACTTTTGTATAGAAAATTTTTGCAAAAAACACATCGTTTAGTAGTTCGGGAAGAGTACATACGGAAAACGAAACAAACTCTCTCACAATCTCCTACTGCCGAACACAGCCGTCTCTCAATCCATTACATTTCAACGCATACATGCAAATTAAATTATGCCCTCGTATACTCTCTCTCTTTAGGGCTCTTTCGGAACACATGAATCCAAACTTAAGGTGGCATATTTAATTGATCCTTAGGATTTTCAAAATGCAGAAATTATATGGGACTTCTTGTTTATTCAATGCTTCATGGGAAAAGTCGTATAGGATTTATAGGAGAGATAGACCCACGAAAAGTTTCCCATAAGGTCCAACCTCATTTTAGAAATCATCCAAAATCCTCATGAATCGACCCTTCCATTGGAATTTTATAGAAATCTTAAGTGCATTCCTTTATTCCAAAGGAGCACCAAAAAATTTTCCATAGGATTTTAATACTATACTACAATAGTCCTCCATTTTCCGTTTGTTCGAAAGGAGCCCTTATTTTTATCTAATCTCCTCTAGACCTTTAAATTGTATTTATTGCTTTGTATATCTCTGAATTTTGATATCGATCCTTTTGATATATATATATATATATATATATATATATATATATATATATATATATATATATATATATATATATAGTAAATTTGTTTGGTGCTCCATGGTGCCCGGGCACCATTGTTGAAATTGAGTATATACCCAATTCAAATGAGTATGAAACTTT